AAATATGATGGCTTCTCAAAATAAAATGTACCTATAAAAATGAACTTGCGTATAATTATAGCAGAGACATCCACCGGGAGAAATTGCATTGGCACACTCAAAATTCCTTTAGAGGTTTTTTTGTTTTCATTGCAGCCACACTGTTAGAATCATCTATGAAGTGAATGTATCGTAGTTCAGTAACATTAGAATCCACACAATCCAAAATTACCTTGGTGGAAGCCCGTTCGTTCAATTTTTACAGTCATGCCGACTGTTCCTGAGTTGAAGAACTTCAGCCTCTTTTCAATGGTAGTGTGCCGTGGAGTCTGACAGGAAAATCACAAATTGGTTACATACAGTGGTAATTCTCATGGTTTTAGCAGAGTCCAGGTCAACAGACGTCTTGGACATCTGGGTGTGAGTGTGTGCGTTTGTAAGGTAGGTTGAAAAAGGTACCATCAGCATTGGGTCAGGGTCTCCTTTGTGGATGACGTTGAGCACTGCATTGGCTTTGCTGTCTCTTCTCATCGACCTGCTCAGATTTGCCTCCAGTGTGTACAAGATCATTCCAAATCTGCCAAAGAAGGAGGACGGCAGCTCTCTGTAAGATGTGACAACACAATGGACAGTGGATGAGAGACAGAATATTTCTTAGAGAACAAGCAAGCATCTTAAATGCATTAGAGTGCTTTTTTAAATTATTATTTTTTTTACTCACTGTGCTGGAATCTGAAAGGAGAATGGGTAAACATGGCAGCCCCGGGGAACAATATTGTTACCTGAAAAGCAATAAAACATTTACTCACTAATTGTATAAAGGTTTGTAAGTCTGACCATACCAAACAATTTTCAGCTAAATGAATCTTCAGCTGTTGGATTACTCTTCTCAATATAGTTCCTCACTATGATGACTAAATATGCCCCAAAGAAAAACTGAAGGACCCAGATGACAAATTTAGATGCAGCTTAAAGTTGAAATAGTTTAAACACAGATGGAAGGATTTATTGAACCACTAATCATATCCCTACAATTCACCATTAAAAATAGAAAATTAACATCAGGAAAGATGTTTTATATAAACAGTTTTCCAAATGAAATGAGACAGAAGCAGTTAAACCGAGAGGTACAGATTGTAGAAAAATGCCATAGTGCTGTTATAAGTGATATGTAAAACAAGAGAAAAAAAAACATGAATAAAAACTTTAGTCACACATTATTTAAAATTATTTTCATTCAGCTAAATTTGATCACAGGTTACTAAACTGAATGACAGATAGTAAATAGGTCACTTACCCTTGCCCTTGCCCTTCTGAATGAAGTAGTGCTCTACACTGAAGTACCTCTCTGTGTTAAAGTACTCTATGGTTGCATATCCCTCTTCCTCCCATTGCACATCTGCTTTTCCCTTCAGCTTAATGCAGAGGGAATTTATTTTGCTTTCCTTTGACAATTCCAATTTAATTTGTCCCGTAACAATATCACCACTAGTGAAAGTATTGCTTTCGTTTATGGGATTATATCCCACTGTAAAGGTCTTAACATTACTTGTCATTATAAGCTGCGCAAAGTGACAAGTATGAGAAGTGGCAGGTGAGGAAATGAGGATGGAGGTTTTATATGTTATGAGGTGTGTCCACGCATGCATATGATTTGATTGTGGTGATAATTAACCTTGTCTTCATTGTTCCTGAGTCTGAGTCACCAAACCTCTTTCCTGCTCCCGGCTGGAAGTCACCTGACCTCTTTCCTGCTCCCGATTGTAGGTCACCTGACCATGTCCCTGCTCCCGACTGGAAGTCACCTAACCTCTTCCCTCCTTCCTACTGGAAGTCACCTGACCTCTTTCCTGCTCCCNCTTAACATAACATCAAGTGAAGAAAGTCATTTCAAATCGGATCATCCTCGTACCAAAGGAGCTGATCAACGAAACAAAGAGGACTGAAGTTAATCCATTCTCTACGACAGATTTCGTTTTATAAACTACACAGCATTCAGTGCTACAAGCATTATTATAACATAATACCTACAGCGATTTACAGCAGATTGAAGACACAGTTTATTGTCCCTGTCAGTCACTCATGGAGTGCCTTCAAGGTATATTTCTCTGTTCTTTTGACAATTTAACAAGTGATTCCTATTCTAAAGATTCTTATAATATCCTATATTTTAAAACAGATAGGTCTTTATGGTGCTCTCATTTTTTGGCCATTTGTCAATGTAACACAGCTTAAGCAAAAATGTGTTTAATACTTAATCATGGTTGTTTGTAACACTGAGTTATTCTGTGAGTTCAATTACAACCCTGTGCTCATGGACTTTCTGTCAAAACCACTCAAGGACGGGTTCATCCATGACCCATAGGTTGGTGGAGGAGTAAGAGGAGCAGAGGCTGTTGGGTTTTGTAGGAAGCTGGTCCCTCCTGGCATTGAGGAGTTTGGAAATGCTTCAAATCCATAGGCAGGATTGGCCAGTGACTGTACCTCCTCAGGCCCTCCTGGAGAAGGAAGGACGACTATGGGGAACTTGATCTCTGCATGCCTGACATCCAGGTAAACCTGTGGTGCAGAAATAGTCTGTAAATATCGTAACGGTCATGCAGCCCCATAGGTGCAAACATATGCTGGTGACGTTCTCTTACTAAGACAGATACACACCCTGAGTCTGTACTCTACTTTGATGATGTTGCAGTTTAAGATGGATGCCGGTGTGGTGGGAGGGATGGTGAGGATCCTGGTGACGGTCTGACTTGCAGAAGGTGGGATGGCTTCGCTCTCCTCTTTCACGATGTCCTCCTTTTCGAGTTTCCTCGTACTTGCAAAGTAACTGTACTTCTTATACAAACAGTACTTCGGCTTAATTTTTCGAGATGAACGGTTCTGAATGGAAGCCACAACCTTTATGCCTTCGCCTGGAAAACAGAACAAGGAA